ATCGACAGGATGTATAGTCAATTTTTGTGCGTGATTCTGAGCGAGACAGCGTTTTGTTGATTGTGCCAGAGAACTCCTGGATGCCGTCACTTAATCGCGGACCGTTTCAGTCGTTACGCACAACCAAACGCTCACTAAAAGTGTCTGCGTACACGGCGCATCCATCCTTTAGAAACTTTCCTAATCAAAAACATCTATTCCACGTTCAGCCATCTAGAATGCCAATGACCTGCCATTATCCATTCAACTATCGCAAGAGTTAAACACATCTGCCTACATCCGCATGTTACACGCGAGACGCCGTGCTCGCCTCCAAAAGGAACATGTTTCCTGCGTGTTATCCCGGAGAGAGTGAGAGCCGGCCCAGTTAACGACAAGATCTTATTTCGCAGCCGTTAATCTCTGCAATCAACCGGAAACAGAGTTGGTTGCTGAAATTGAAGCGCTGAGCACACGAATATAGCAGAACGCGAACGAAAACGACCAACACGCAAAAGCAAGTCAGCAAGCAAACAATTACAACCTAGTTTTCAAACTTATCTTAATCAACGGGGTGACGATGAGATGATCCGTGTGACTCCCGACCATAAGTTTAGACAGTGAGTGAGGGACAGAGGAGAAGGGCGGAGAATAAAAGCGAGAGAGATGTAATGGGGGCGACCATTTATCTACTAAATCAGGTTCTAACTGATGGCGTCCGGCGGAGTTGCAGACAGAGCTTCATCTCGTAGATGCCGAGACGGTTATCCCTTTGGCTGGTGACGGCCGTAGCAAAACGGAGCCGAGTTACCCGGTTAGTTAGTCGGGGGAGGCGTTCCGATTCCCGTGCGCACTTTAGCAGGAACCGGGTATGTTATTCCTATCAAATTACTTCCTAAACCAGCTCACTCTATGGGATTTACAGAAAAATGCCAAGATAGGCAGTTACTCACATAATCACAGCTTAACGCGGACATCCGGGAGACCCCACGCATACGCAATTGTCGAGCATCAGGGGGTGTATTGTACCAGGCATATAAATATTTGTTAAATTATATTCGATGTATCTGACATTCATTCGTTGATTATTACTATGATCACCACTTAGATCGCTCAAGCCATCTGTGCGCACCCTCTCCTATGATGAAATGTGAGTGTGTTTGTCTATTTTTGGCCCTGATGCTAGCTAGTTTAAGTAACTTCTAATTGCCAGAATTTCAACTGCCTAGCACGGTAGCCCAGGCAGGCGGTCACGCCGAACTTAAGTCATAAGTGGTGATTCCAGATGTGCACGCTTGCAATAGCCGATTTTGCAAATGCAGAAATAGGTGAAAAATGGAAACACCAGTCTAAATCTGACTGCCTCTGGAGTGCTTTCCATGATTACGTAAGTACAAGCGGTGGTCAGACTGTTATATCTCCAATGATCCTTTTTTGTCTGAAGTTATAAGGAAACTGAATTATGTACCTTGGGTTCTTCCTTAAAAAATTGCTGTGTTTTAAGCAAATGGGGTCTCTATCAGGGAAGGATGTGGACAGTGGTCGTGCAGGCTAGGTGTGGAACAAATGCTTACGCCAAAATCCATTTGAAAATTGACAATCATAAAAAGGCTTGAGATGAGCATATGTGTATTAAGGTGATATAGAGCATAAGCACAGAGGAAGACTAGACGAGCCAGCTTGTTTTGTTGTTCTGGGCCTTCAACATCGTGTAGGAGTAAGATAAAGCATGGACAACAGAACGAACAACACTCATAAGTGGTCCAAAAAAAAACATTGACCGTTGATGTACGACGGGAAGTGACTGAACAGGACACTTCACGCTGTCGCCAGATCGATAAATCGTCCGATATCCAGAATTCAATTGATGCTCGGCCTGTTTTATTCCCGACTTGAGCAATTATCATGTTTGATGCGAAGTTAAACTCAGAATCCATCTCGGACAATCAACCTATTGATCTAGCCTCGGCACATAGAGCCCTGAACACCAGCATCTACAGTGCATGATCAATCTCATGAAAAGTTTGCCGAAACTTTGAAATGCGTTTTCAACTAGGAAGGATTATAAAGGTGACCTTGTAATATTAGTAATCATGTAGCATATACATATAATATTTTAAACTCGCCAGCATGTTGGCTTTTGAATGCACTTCTTTTTAAATGACCCTTTACGTAGCATGCATTTTTCAAAAATGATTTTCTATAGTTTCAGATATTTACATATATTATATTAAATACGTGAACGAAGATATGCCTTATTTTGTTTGTTTGGCAAAAAACTAAATGTCATTATGTTTAATAGCTTACGAGAGGTTTTCGATCGATTTTTAAAAAAAGTTCCTAGCACTGAGTTTTTAAAGACCGTGCGATGTATATATATATACAGTATCGCACGTGTCGGTTTACTTACGCTCCTCGTGTAATATAAAACGCAGCCCTTATCCATTGCAGAATTTCATGGACGCTTTATAGTATCCTTATAAAGGCATTGATCAGTATACGATTTTCATTACGCAGGACGTATGCAGCTTGTGGAATGCAATCGCCAAGCGCTAATGCAACAGCTGGTCATGCTGAAAAGCATATTTTCGTGCATGTTGTCTATAACACATATTTGAGTTCATAAAACCATAGAAAATCAATATGTAAAATGCATTCTACGTAAGAAGTTTTGAAGGATAGGCAGTTATAAAGCAACAACACATGTGTATATATGTGCCTACCTTGAAAGTGCATCTCTGGCCTCGGTTCTCCGAAGGATTCACGGCACATATTTGCAGTCTCACCTCAGGACTAGAGGAATAGAAATGCCAATGGGTCGGAGAAGACAGCGCATGTCGGTTCGATCGAGCGCGACAGGACTGCCGTCGTGAATGAAAAGGAGACCTTCCGAGGGCTCAGAATCAGGGCGAAATGTGGTTACTATTGCATTGTAACATATGTGGCCTGGGATACTTCAGGAATGAGGATGACCTTACGTGTGTATTAAGGAATTGACCTCTCTGCGGCATACCTAACCGAGTTGGTTTGGTCGGACATCCATAAAATCTTTACAAGATGGCGAGCAACGAACCGAACAGCCCCGACCAGTCAGGCTTGCCTTATCTGTCTGTATCGCGCCAACAAACTCAGACGTCTGACTACGTCGTTCAGGAAATACATAGCTGAATCATGCAAAATCAATTAGACGCATATCTGATGTGTGGGTGATTTTCGTGTGGCGTCTGTTAAATGGAAGGTTTTACGTCAATTTAACTACTGATCTCTATCTCATTTACGGAACACACAGGCGCAGTATGACCTTTATGCCATCATATCAATTTTCCGTACAAAAGACAGGGTTGTGTGAAGTGAGTAATCATCATGTATGCGTCTAGGTTAACGAGTTTCTAAAAGCTCAGTCCGCAACATTCTTCAGTCTAACCTTCTCGGTAGACAAAGTGGGAAGACGGCAAATGTCGCACATTCTTTTTAAACAGCAAAGGCATTCGCGAGTACATTGCCTGACTTGTGTCGCATAGCATATAGCAGACAAAGCAACACACTCTCCTCCAATTCACAGAATGACCCACTCGCTACAGGAGGAAGCAGTACCGTTGAATTCAGGTACTCGACTGATCGTCACTGTTTAATGAACAAATGAGCAAATATCTTAAGACCGTGTCTCGAATGCGAGTGTGACTGCCTAAGCATCGCAACTCCGGAAGATCAAGATCTGTCTCACGAAACAGTATCAGTCATTCAGTCTCTGTGATATCATAAGGGCCCTACCGAAACACAGTCAAAACTACATTAAGACGTCAAAATATAATCCCCCCAGGATTTTAGCAACTCCTTCAACTAGAACCCTCACCAGTTTCAGGGGTTGAGTGAACTCAGTGGTGGTGGGAGGGGCGTATCGACAACGTCATTGCAAACATGTCCTCGATACTGGACGGCAGTCCATCTATAAATCGTATGGGCTATAGAAAATCTAGCCAACAGTCGACACTGTCAGCGGTTGAGCAACGGAACCAGGGAGTCCTCCAGTTAAATGAACAGAAGATTGCCTCGTTCATGCGGACACATAAAATCGAACATCCTTCTTGTCCCTGCTCCTTGCGTGTTTATACATATCGGTTCCAGAAGAAATAACACACATTCAGATATTTGAACCTGCTTTCTGTTAGTCAGCACGCGATAAAAGGCGCTAAGTGAATCGATAGCTCTCTTTTGTTCGTCAAGGCAATTCAAAATACCACAAACATCATTACCAACACACACACGCACACACATGAGTACTTTCTGCAGCAGATGCGCTAAATGACACCACTACATAGTCCTTTAGAACTGACCTTCTTTGATCCAGATGATGCTGCGCGCAGGAATGAGGATAGTTCGAGTGCCGTGCACAAACCAATTGGTTTGGTTTGTGAGGCTGTCTCTTCTAAAAGACCTCTCGCAGTCGAGCAAGGATGACATAAATAGAGCGGCGATGGAGTTCTGCAAGGCACATCGCGTCTCTCGTCTCACATCTCAAACGCGCGCTGCGAAACACAGTTTCCTAAATTGGCAACCTTCAGTAGGCGTCCCGCATATTTAATTTTGAAGAAGGTCCAATTCTTGCGTGCATTCAATCTTGGTGTTGTGAAGGACAGTTAGAATTACTGGCAATTATGATCCTATCATTATCTGGGCGTGGCTTGAAAAAAATAGGGCCTATCTTTGTTCTGCTTCTGGTCTTTGTGTTTTACAGCGAGTGGAAAACTGTTCCAAAGGCCCTACCTACAAAATCTGCCATCCCCACTAGTCAATCGACCTCATCTCGCAGATGCCCTGCCGAAAGCCTTAAACTCTGTCAGCCAGACGTCAGCACTGCGCACAAAGTGGTAGACGCCGACTTCCGGTCATGTCGATTTGAAAGAGAACTATTTTATACGACCCCCGGAAACAACAATCTCGTAGATAGATGTATCTCGTTCGGGGGTTTGGTGTATGTGTCGGAGGATGAGTGGGCCAAATTTCGGATACCTCTGGCATGCATGGCCTATCCAATGGATGTGGACCTCAACAAGGTCGTGTTCGCGCATTCCAATGGTTTAGCTCTGAACTTGGTAAGTCCTATCTGAAAAAAGCTTCCACAGTTCAGTTTAATCATGTTATTCAGTCAAAACCGAAGCATAGATTTTATGAAATAACGTTTGCATTTTCATGAGTGTTGACATATATGAAAATACGTGATTAGATGTAATAATTCAAGAGTCTTTAATTGGAATTCTGAAATATGTCCTTGACTCAAACAGTTTACCCAAGCAGGTTTGTAATATTAATAATCATGTATTATAATAGCATAAGCAATCACCTACTTCAGGATGGCAACTTACAAACGAACTTCCTTTTGGCTTCCTGTAACTATTATAGTCGGAAAGGATTGACCACATAATCGGAATGAAATCGATCTATGCTCTGTTGATGCCCTTGGAATCTGAGCTATAGTGTAAGGAAACGGCAAAATTAATTTATTCGTTCCTTCATTTTGTAGAGACTTACGTCTTCTGCTAATGTTATGCTTGCAGGAAGGGTATTTTTCGGTTATAATAATTTTATCAATATACAACGTATGGAGACCGTGAAATGGTAATGTTCGTGTGTATATAAAAAGTTAGTTACTACACGAAGCGACAAGGATTCAAGCAAGTTAATTCCGTGTAGTAGGCCTGGAGGCGTTCGCCTGTGTATTGCCTTGCTAAACCAACGGCATTCATCTAGGGAGAGATGACAGTATCTGCACACAGTTAAGCTATGACTTTTGCGTACAAATTCGCACTCGCACAATTTGTTCACTTAAGTTACACACCAACCACTCCAAAAAGCGAACCTCTAGGCACACTCTAGCAAACCCATCTTAAGTTTACAAACATGAGTTGACATTTTAACACAGTTCCTGCACAGTCACAGATATTTGAATGTATATATGTCCATGCGCGAATTAACTATATCTGTGCATCCGAAATCCTTTGCATTTGCAGAAACCAATCAACAACCTCAACATCTCCATTGTCTACAGCAGCAAGTCTGTTTGTACGCAAGAAACTGCTAATTCCTACTGGACAATGATCATCGTGAAGAGCGCCCTCACAAACTACGTCCGGCGACTTCAGTTGCGCGAAGTCATTCGGCGATAGGTCGCCAAACTTGGAGTCAAGGTGGGGGTCGTCTTCAGTCTTGGGCTTCCCGAAAACGGTCTAATACCCCCCAAACTCCTCAAAGAAGTCGCGCAATTCGATGACATCCTGCTCGCCAGCTAAACCGAAACATACCACAATCTGACCCTCAAGACGATCTCCAATCTGCGCTTTGTTCACCACCACTGTCTGCACACCAGTCCCTCCTTTGTCTTCCTCGATGATGATCATGGAATCAATCTGCAACAGCTGCGCCAATTCTTGTCAAATTTGTCACTCGTGGAGGTCCGCAGAAGCGTGTTTGGTTTTATTAACTATAACAAACCGGTGATTCGTGATGCTGACGATAAATGGTTCACCTCGATTTCGGACTACCCGTTCCCACATTATCCTGATTATCCTTCCGGTCCTTGCTACATCATCGGCGCCGATATTATACAAAAGCTCTCTATGGCTGCAGCTTTCACGCGCCTCATGCCCAATGAGGACGTCTATGTGGGCATGATGTTGATGAAGCTGGGTGTCCCTATTCAACCCCTACCCAATATGCGCATCCACCGCTCACATTTTCCTCGAGACTTTTCCCCCTGGTAGCAGGCCTGCAATTCTTCGCCAAAGAACTTGACATAGCATAGAATGTTGTCATCTTTTGCTGCTGAAATTCAAATATACCATTTTTTTTTACTAGAATGTTCACCTGTTCTTATTCTTGGAAAATACACCGGGATCAGTTAGTTTTTGGCGGCTTCTACTCTCTATCATTCAGCTCTTCTCGAAGAATTACGTATATGGAATTATCACATAACTCGCAGATTTGCATCGACTTTTTATACGAAATAGCTGTGAAGGTGTTGAGTTACCCCAGACAAGACAATTAATTAATTATCACGGTTTTATGCTCCGCAATATTAAACGCCATTTGGTCCAGATCATGGCAGTTAGAGTGCGACGTATCTGCTCTCCTGAGACTGTGGAGGCAGAACTGAAGCACCTGTGGGATATACTCCACGAAAACGTATACGCAAATTATTAACCCTCCGAAGTATAGGGGAATGCACTGAAAAACACATTATGGGAATTGCAGAGAAGAAAGGCATGCTTATAAAACTAACTTTTCTTGGGGGGCGGGGCTGGGAACGCTTCACATGACCTAGTTTGAAAACGTCTGAATACAGCCATCGGTAGCGCTTTCACCTCGGCGAATTTACGCATATGTTTCACGGACTATCCCTCCTCCGCTTGGGAGGTAAAGACCGACTATCGTTGATGGCCACACCGATGTGTGTTTGCTTATTCGCTTGCTTATTTGGACACATTGGTCGCTCAAGTAGGCGTCTGGAAAAGGGAGTACGTGAACACATACCGGGTTAGCTAGGCAGAGGTGAAAAAGGAATGAATTTCGAGTTCTATTCTCGCCCGCTTTGTCGATACGAATCATTGAGTCGATGCCAAAGAAGCCTTTCAGATTGTCTACCGGACACCAGCACGCGTCTCCAGAGGTCCACGCCAACGAGTGCTAGCTACAGTCCTGGCAGTATCAATACGGTCAGCTAATCCAGTGCTATGTATTCAGCCGACTTTGACACAGGCGCTCTGTCTTCTGTCGCCAACACCGACCACAGATGATGACTGCACGTCGCCTCGACTTCCTGATGGCAGTGGTGTGCGCACAATATACCGGACGTCCAAAAATTACTCGCAGCCTATGTCTCCCCTCCCCATCGCCCCTTTGACTCAATGACCACGACACGGCGGCCACGCCATAGAACGCCTCGCCATGCGAGTGGCGTGTGAAGGTGAGTGTCAATAGACACTGAATCAACTATAAACTCCGTAACTTCGCATAATTTCAACTTCTATGTAGCTGTTTTTTCCTGGTGATTAGTTACCTTTAATACGTGTTTGCCAAATTGAATTTTCAATTTTAACTTGGGTATATTCGCAGAGATTAACAATACCTCGACATCTGCAATCGAAAAGAAAGGTCTAACAGTTCAGCTCACGGATTTCGTACGCTTTGTGTTAGAGCAACAAGATTCAGTGTGCAAATCTGTATGCTTCATAATTCGTCCAGCATCATCTCACCCATCGAACATGAAAATCGTTTATTTAGGCTTATTTTTTACTGGTGATGAAAACCAGAACTTATAATTGATTAGGAGACAAAGAAAGTAATGTCTAGGCCCTACCAAGCAAGCAACAGGCCAAATCAAGCAGTAGGATGCTGTGTGTCTGAAGGGATCTAGATGACGATTTTTATTATGAATCTCATGAGAGAAACCGTACCACCAATGCAGAGCTTTACAGCCAATAGTTTCGCCGTCCAGAAGTTGCAATTCCGCAAAGACGCTCGAATCGTAAAAATGGTGTCATTCTGCAGCAGGACAACGCCAAGTATCACCAAAATGTCATGTAAGAGCCTGCCTGAGAAGTTCATTCGTATCTGTCGAATTCTCGGGATCTTCCTCCTTTGGATCTATGTCTGCATCTGTCACTGGAAATTTATTTGACGACCGGGCGCTTCAAAATTTAGTCGATGAATTCTTTGCGCAACAGATAAGACTACAGAGGAAAATTCAACCGCCATCATCGATGACTTCTATGATGCGAACCTCACGATGGTGGCCAGAGCAACTGTAAATTGCAGGTGTATTAGGTTATAATGATGGCCGTGCTCCATGTCTATCAAACGTTCTCATATCCCCATCCGCCCCAATCCAGCGTCAAGTAGACCGCAATGGTCGACAGTGTCGAACAGTCCGTCTGCGCCTGCCCTTCACGTCTGCTCCGCGCACAAATGACCAGTATTTTGAACAATATGAAGACGGGGACTCGAAACCCCAACAGACCGTCAGCGTCGCATCCTAACTTGTTCGCATCTTTTTAATTTGTCCTACATTGCCTTTACTTAACTCCATTAGAAATAATCACTGTATCTCGCTGTGATATATTCTTGTGGGATTTGCAAGACATTTGCTGTCGGCTGAGCCCTCTTAACAACACATCGTCTTTGCTGCAGCCCATGTGTGTGTGTTGATGTGGGGAGCCAAGTCACGTGTGGCGCGATCAGCCACCGTCGCTCAATCCTAACATCTGCTGTTTGACCGGCTCGGACGGTGGACTGATGCATGGATGAGGTGTGAGATCAAAACAGAAGAATTATAATCAGTAGGCAAATAGTTACCTTAGTATCAATAGGGGTATTAGCGTGTTAAAGTAAAAACCAATGTGTAGCAAAGAGAGGGAAACGTAAGATCAACAGGGAACAATAGATTTCCACTGCTGTACCAGCGTATATCATATTACAATGTATGTGACCTGTTTAAATCCACCACGACGGGCAAAATACCATGGCCTCGAATAATGTCAGAAGACAGGAAAATTTTCCCACTAAGGGCAGACAGACAGTCAGGCTGCAATGCCTCCCAATTGCATTACCTCATCTCTGTTGATAACCGCGCAGCCGCTTCCCTAAAGTCTATGAGAACAGAGTTCGTAGTGCGCGCACGCCCCGGGTGTGTGGCATACGTAGACGGGCTCTTTATTTCCGCCCCCACCGCATTAGGCACATGTTGTGAGCAACAAGCCGTGCGTGGCAAGCGAAGATGGGCTGCCTAGCTCTGACATACGAGTCTTTCCCACCACAAATTAATTTCCCGCATATGGCACCGGTGCTCCGTCCACTCCGTGGGGCGCAGGCAGGTCTAATACTACTACTACTACTACTAATACTACTACTAATACTAATACTACTACTAATACTACTACTACTACCACCACCACTACTACTACCAGCACCACCGCCACTACTTCTAATACCACTAATACTACAACAATCATTACTACTATTACTGTCGTCATCGCCACACCTATTCACAACAACAACTCTAGTGCTGCTGTTGCGGCTACTACTAATACTACTACTCCTAATAATAATGATAATACTACAACTACTACTGTTACCACTACCATTAACAATCTAGTCATGCAGAATATACAGCACCATAGCCCTAGACCACCCTCCTCCATTCGTCCTGCATTTATATCATCAGCGGGCCCAGGAGAGATGTCGGCCAAAGATGCTGCACAATTCGGGTATTGCTACAAAATATAAACGGACAAGCCATCAAAATGTTTCTTGCATAATCTTCCACACACAGTCGATATCTACGAACTGATGATGAACTGATTTGTGCTTCATCAACCGCATGTACACATCTGACTTCTCAAACATTGAACTTTTCTGACGGGTGAGGTATTGCATCCAACGGCGGTGGTTAATATTACAATCTTACTTAAGCCATTTTTCCGAGTCCAAAAGATATTTCGCAATATTGGTTAACATTGCATGAGCTAACACACCTACTGTAGGTTACTATTCCATGCGTGCACTCTTAGGCGAACCGAAATCGAGCAATAGGCGACGGATGGGAACGCCCTTCAAAATTTGATTACTATAAATTGCCAACTAATAGTGAGCGGGTTACTCCACCTAGTTTTCAGTCCGTTTTAATTCATACTTCTCTGAACTATTCGTTGCTGATCGTTGGTCGATCGCTTGTGCAGTCTGTGAGACTACGACATGTGCTTTGTCTGCAGAAAACGTGGTGTTTTGTATGACGTTTAAGAAGTCTTATGTGTGCCAAAACACGAAATATTAACCGGAATTCGAAAATGCCCTTTCCTTTGAAAAAGTTTGCTTGCGTATATTTTCGAAATTTATCTATAATCTCTATATCTTGCATTCACATCTTCTCTTTTACCGGTTTTTCCTGCCATTCTCCGTGTTCTTAGTTGCTGTTGGTTGATCAATGACTTGTGCTGTCCGTTGGATTTCTAGCAATATTTTCTCTGCAGCCGATGTAGCGAAGTAAATGTCGGTTACATCCGATGCTCCGACAGGTCCTTTATTTCCTCTCCTTGATTTGACTTATGCTCAATCCGATAATGTTTGTATCTGCATCCTCAGCAGCAATGTCGACTAGCCGAATGAAATTTTACCAGAAAAATTCCTGAGTCAAAATAAGCCCAGCATTGCAGCAAATTTATTTGCCAGCATCTGAAGCAAGCTCAAAGTATATGAATTAAGCGTTCTATGACCCTGAATGGCACCACACATGTTTTCCGTTTTAGGACTCATGTGCTTTTTATGTCGCGCAATATTGTTTTCCATTTTAGAGATAATGCAGTGGCCTTACTTAACGGGTTCATACATTGTGTGGGCGATTCGTGAATTTTTAGAGTGCCGATTAGACTTACGTTAATTGTCAGAACTTTTGGGTTTTAATTATTCGTGACGTCGACTTCTAGTCCTATGACATCTGGTCACCCAGCAATCTGCATAGCAATCTTCTGGACTACGGAATGTTTCCTCATCGTCGAATTATAAACTGCAGATTCCAACATCCGACAAGGTACTATTTCGTAGTTGCACCTGTTAGGAGTTAGGGTTAGAAGTTATTGCTAGAATTAAGAGATAGGCGCCAGTGTTATGGGTTAGGGTTTGAGGTTCGGGGTTAAGGTTAGAGTTAGGGTGTTAGTGTTAAACTCCCTATCACCACCGGAATCGTGTGGCATGCAGCTGGCGCTCGTCT